TCGCTCGTACGGGAAAAAATCGCCCGATTTTTAATCGTGTCACGACTGAAACCGTCTAGTGTGAAAGCGTGCATTTGAATCCGTAATATGAAAGGAGCGCAACGCGTTTAGAAAACGTGCCCGTGTTTTAATCGTGCAATGTGAAAGGTCTCGTGCTCTTCAACAGTCGATCAACAAAAATTGCCCGGGCGATTTTTTCCCGTACGAGCGAAATCGTGTGATATGAAAGGAGCGTAACGCTAGCCCTCATATTACTCTACTGCATGGGCAGATCAATGTATAACAAAAGGGATAAGTATCGTGCTACAAATACACTTGTTGATGTGCTTCTTATATGGGACATGAACGAACGACAGTTTGGATTGAATCAAAGTGAATTGCAGACCGGCAGCGCTTGCCAAGTAAAGTTTTCCGACAGAAACGGGACGACCTATTTTTAAGTTGATTTGCTGGGAATGAGTTTAGAATCAGCCTCCCACACAGAGCAGTAGGGTTCGATCGAGGGACTCGGTGAAGTGGAAATTCGGGAGAAGTTGGATACTTATTTGGAAAGTAATGTGCTCTTGAAGGAAACTTATCATCTGAAAGGGTGTCTGAAGTATAGATAGAAAAATACAAACCGTCATCGGTGATGTCTACAGGCTACTATAAAAGCTTCGCCCTCGTAATTTCTTCTAAGCACTAGTCTATGCCTAAACCGCGCGTAAAGTTATATCGTAAGACCACCCCCTATGCACTCAACATGCAATAACATGCAGCCTACTGTGTCCCTTTGTTAAGTCATATTGCAAAACTTTCATAGTACCCTTTAACAGGTGAACTTGTAGCCATAGAGTAGCGTCAACCTTATGGGATAACTGACGTGAATATTACCAATGATTATTCTGCATCTGTTTTCAACTCAAATGATTTAGCACGAGAAGATGAAATTAAGCACTATTTACATTCAAAACCCACTAATCAGTTCTTTCCAAAGTAGTAGAGAAAATAATCTACAAAGAAATTTTAGAGTTTACTTGTACTAACAATAAAAGGAAGAACGATCACTGGACAATGCTATAGTGAGTTATTGGACCGCTTCGACAAAAAATTGAAGGAGATACGCCACAGCACATTCATCCGAAGTTGTCACCTGCCAAACTGCATGAATTGCGTTATGAAGTGCTGCCGTACCCCTGTATTCACGCGATCTGGCCCCCTGCGACTTTTTCTTGTTCCCTGACATGAAGAAATGGCTCGCGGGGAAAAAATTTAGCTCAAGCGACGAAGTCATCGCCGAGACAGAGGCGTATTTTGTTGAGCTCGTACAAATCCTATTTTTTGTGGGGTTACAGGAACGTTGGGAAAAGTGTATTTTTCTAAAAGGGGATTATGTTGAGAAAAAGATTTTTTTGGAAATGGTGTCTTAATTTCTAACAATGATACTTATTGAACCGCCCTCGTAAACTCCAATTTGGATAACAACCTAGCATCAGTTCTTTACTCTCCCGATTTTAGTAAGTCATGAACTACTTCTTGCCAAGTGTACTTATCTTGGATTTAATAAACCGGTACTACGTTTCCTAGCGACATATCTTAAAGACGGACAACAACCGGTGGTTCTGGGAACAAGTATTTCAAATTTCCGGAATGTTCCTTCAGGGGTACCACAAGGTTCAGTCGTTGGGCCTCTGTTGCTCTTAAAATAAACATTTGATTTTGTCGTCAAAATTTAAAACTCGAGTGTAACTGATGATACTAAATTATTGTTAAGCTTTCCGCCTGGTGAAAATGGCTGACGCTAAATTAATATTGATCTTGGAAGTATTAAAATCAAGTGTTTGTACTGTTTTGCAAGAAGGAAAAACGGAGACATCTAGAAGCAAGCCTGAACCTGAAAGTAAGCAGCACAAAGTTAAAAGTTAATGCAAAATTTTGACATGTTAACAACTTCGTCAAAACATGCTATTTTATTCTGAAACTATTATATACAAACAGACACTTCCTCAGTTTTAAAATAAGAAAAAAAACGATTAAGTGTATCATGAAATATTTTCAAAATTTTATATGGAATCATAACGTATTATCTTTGCTTAGATCAAACGTTTGCCTACAGACTACAAAAGGACCTTTGTCTTGATAACGTAGCATCCTTGAACCCATGTTCATAACAGCTCTATTGATCGAATCAACAAAGAAATCCCCTCTTGGAGTTGGTACAATAGCCAGTAGTTCTGTAGTTTCCGACAATCTGTATGTACATGTATATAATTAAGGTTTCTTCCCTAGGTAACAAAACAATCCTTGACATTTGCAAGGATTCCATCAGCAGCTGAGAGAAAATTCGCCAGCAACGACGGCATTGTGTATTTTCCCAGAAATACCTAAAACTTATCTACACAATTAAGGCCATTTCATCTCCTCAGCTACCCACAGTTTGCGTGGGTGGGTATTTCTCGAGGTTATTACAAGCAAAAGACGCGTTGCCGAGGTCTTATAATTTACTACGATAAGATAGAAGGAATGTCTCGACGAATGTATATGGAAAAGTGCTCTTGGTTCAACTGTAACTATCTTGAATTGAGGAAATGGTATGTCTTCATCTTCTCACTACTGCTCGAAATGTTTTTAATTGCAGCTCAACTTTAATCCAACCGCTGGGACTTTGTACGATTTGTCGCCGCGCCTTGCATATTTATTCCGTTCAAAGTAATCGAGATCGTTCTCGAACAGATCGCTCACCGCAGTGTTGCCGCTGTTTGTGCTTATTATGAGAATTTACAAAATTTACGGAAGCTTCTATGATTTGTACACCTTTTTAAAATATGTTGTGAGCCACCAGAGCTACCGGTAGCTCGCGATCGACGCGTTAGCGACCACTATCTTGAGCCAAGATCACTCTTTTTTGTATCAAGTCAGGGAATGCGAAAAAGCATGATTATATGACTGTCCAGTAAAAGAACCTATTTTTGGGATTCATTAGTCTCCTATTATTATGTGTTCCTACAATTGTAGGACGCCTTTAAGGCCTACTTGATTTTCATAATTTTCTACTGTTCCATGTCAGCGCTCTATTTTGTAGGTTAGGATTATGTTACAAATATCTACTTGCATCAAATTGTTCATGCGTTTGATTCAAATCATCTGTGATGTCAGCCTAAATTTATTACGTTTCAAAAAGAAAACGCTGATACGGAACAGTAGAAATCTAGAAAGACCCCAGTTTTTCTGAAGGAGAAAAAATACTATGAAAATCAAGGAGGCCATAAAGGCATCCTACAATTGAAGGAACGACTGAAGATACGGCTATAATCTTGGCTAGTCAATCTCTAGCACATATGATATACTTTTCTCAGAAATTACAAAGATAACTAATAAGACTGTCGGTATCTGAATATAACACAAATTTCTCTAACTATTGTTTGAAAGTTGATGACTGAATTGTTGGCTCTTGAACCTCCATTGACTTGATGATAAATCGAAACGTCGTGAATCATAGACAGTGAAAATCCGACAAACAACATATCAATCACAAATTTCTCTGTTTTCTTTATATACTCGGAATATACGAATAGTGCACAAATTTCAAAGAAATGTAGTTGAGCAACTTTAACACCTTTGATTAACTTCGCGACGCATAAGTTCCAAAATCCTTCTTGGAACTACAAGCTCAGCTTTAGTTATTTTTATAACTATGATTGGAATAGTAATCCCATGGTTATCACTCGACGTACTGGGAACAAAGGAGTGGTCATACCGTCAAGCTTTCGATGTACCAATTTCGAGAGAGTAAGTATTGGAGCCACCTAGCAAGCTCAGCAACATGGAGAAGAGCTCTGAGGAAGCAAAGCCCGTTAACACAGCGATAGAAGAGAAATGACATCGATCATCGCAAAAACCTTTTCAGCATTTTTGATACGTGCCGCGGAAAGATATGCATCCCGTTTCCAAAACGCTACACGCTGAACGTTGGGTCTCCGACCTAAAAAGCTCTACTCAAACATGTAAGACCTTAACAAGTTGCAAGGTTAGATACAAACTCTGCATAAGCGATAAGGGCAAAGGCATACACGTTGAGTCTATGCTCCTGTCGTCCCTAGGGAACGCCTCTGACGTCGGTTCTAGACAGCGGCGTACCGAGGTATCTAGGTTTTAGGGAGTTAAAAGCGACCTACCAGCTGAAAGTCAACAAGTTGTCTTTTACAAGTGCAAAGCTGTTGGCCTAGCGGTAAAAGGAAGCCAGATCGCCAACTGTCCCGTTGGTGTGGAAGGGTCCCGAGACCGTCCGTCAGATGAAACGTCATCAATCAGACAAACAGTTTAGTGTAGTGGGCAGTGATAACTTGTTAGATAGGAAGTCGCTACTAGTCTTCTCTCCAGTTTATCGACAGAGACCGACTTGGGACTCTGAGTGCCTGCGTGTAAAGTGCTGTCATTAGTATAGCTATGAATCGTATCTGTATAAATTAGCAAGGATATAATATGACTGTCGTGTACTATAACTAGGTAACAACAGAAAGATTACGAAACCACCTACCAGGACAGAGGTTGTTACTTCATGGTACTTCATTCATTATTGTTGCATATGCTGCTTACTTTGATCTCCTCCAGCATTAGTGAACAGTTTTTTTAGATAAATTTTAAATTGACAAGTTCTAGTTACGATGCCAAGTAACAGATAGCGATCTGATTGGGTATCTGGACAGCCACACAGACCAATCGTCGACCTCCTTATTAAGACTAGTCTTATATTCCTTATCCCCACATTGATACGCCTCTGTCGTCATGTTTCCAACCACCCTCAGTATCTACGCACGGATCAATACTCCCGAAGTTTTCGGCCAATAGGGGCTTGTGTGGGAAACTCAGCGCCAATCACGCGCCATCGGCTAGACACAGAGTTTTCACCCCCCACCGCTGGAAATTTCATTGAGAGTGTGTGGGTGATGCCCCCTCTATTCATCGAGGGGAAGTGCCGCTTATATATGCGAACGGCATATGAGGGGGCACGTAGTTTTTAACGGGATACCGTCACGTTGTGAACTCCTTTTCGTGTGAATATTGTGCCGCTGCTCTCGACAGCGAAGTTTGTTTGGTGAAGTCGCTGCCATCAGGATTAAGGTAGGCTCATATTTTAATTTTTTTTTTGGAGGTTAATATAATTAATTCAATTATTACCACATGAACTGCACGAAAAAACAAACATTTTTACAACAAAAAATAGTTGCCTCTTATCTTGGAGAGGCAACTCGAGAAACTAAGCCCTTGAGAATTGAAAAAGTTCTCACTACATGTTTTGTTAATAATCATCAGTCCGTCATCAGTGCTGGCATTCTCAAAAAACAAGTTACGCAATAAAGTATCATCACTCAATATCTCCATATCTATCATACAGCGGTTACTGAAATTAAGTGGTGACAAGAGCGTAAAAGGAGAGAACAAGTGCATCATGAAACATCAAAAAGTTGGAAACTAGGTACGATTATGTGATAAAAACGAAAATATATAAATAATATTTTAAATCAATTTAGATGCAAAGCAGTTTCACGATATTACTTTGTGGAATGATTCACTATCCAATTCCAAGCATTTTTGGATTTTAAGATTGATTGCTTATAGGTGAACAGAAATGACTGTGTTAAGCATGACGTGGATTGAAATCAGAAAACAAATAAAACTCCATGTTTCTCTGATCAAATAAAATCACAACTTGTTACTGACGTTTCGGCTACCATAGTGATTTCTTTTAATTACAGTAAAATAGTTTCAATATATCTATATATCAGAGAAACATGGAGGTCAATCAGCATGAGAACCTGAATACTCATGCTTCAGCTGTTACATTATTCAAAAAGCCTAATCTTTGCAAGTGTGTATTTTTTATAATTTTAGCTTATCCAATTTCAATTCTAACGATTAAGAGAAACATGATTCAAGTGAAGAAAGCCTACATGCAGGAGTAGCTAAAATCTAGCTTATCCCATAAGGAGTTGCTGCTTTAGTCCGGATGACCTTTGGTATTTAAAGTTTTGTCAGAAGGAAGGATTTCAATGTACAGCACATTCACCATTTTTTCCACAATGCATAAATTCTAAATCAGAGATCGCCAACCTTTTCAGTGTGTTGAGAGACTTTGATAATTTTTGAACAAACAGGCTGTTCAAAATTCGCTAAACTTAGTATCTTTAAGCTCCTCATAACACTCGCGCGGTCCTGGTATTTAGTTTTCTATCTACTCACTGCATCAGTACACAAAAAAATGTCGTCAAGTGATTGACTCTGCACTTGCCACGCAACGCCATCGTCAGTTCATAAAGGGCACAAGTTGCACCCCGTGTACAACCGGAGAATTCAGTGGATCAAGTCAGTCAAATAGGCCCAAACAGTTAGTTCGTAGACGTTCTTTCTCTGTTCTATCGGTTATCCGTTTGGCAACATCGCTTTCCTCCAATACCTGACGTCACAACGTGGCAGTACGGCCAGAACACTTACCAGGACGACATTTCTTTATCATATACAAATCTATGGGGCAATCTCTGATGTGTGAGATATGTCTACAGTATATTCAGATAAGAGATAGACCGGACATAAACAAAACCACGTGATCATCGAACGCTGTAACATGCGGCAGGGACGTATTAAGAGTCACGCAGTACATATTTTAGATAGTAGATGCTGCTTTGCGTAACTTTGTAGTAAATTAGCACAATTCGATGTGTATACGATTGGTGATGGATATAGGATCATGTGGGGGTGGGGTAAGAAATATATAATGATGTAAATATACATAAGGGTTTCAAAATTTTCGCTTCAATTTCCAGCTTCGGATGCCGTCTGATGTTTGGTGAAATACAGTCGAATATAATCTCAAAATGGCGTTTAAATTAGCCTAAATTTAAAATAATCGTATATCTCTTAAAATTGCTTTTAGAATATTGATTAGTATATTTTTTGATTTCTAGGTAAATATGTAACCAAATTAAAACGTTCAAAACGTAAAAAAATGTGCATGGTTGAACATTGTCAGAAAGTAGATTCTTGAATAGGTTTTGCCAAAATGGGTTCAAAAGTGTCAATAATTAATTAAAAAATACAGTAGCTTTATAATTACTTATAACTTACCGAATTTGATGAACGACATCTTTTATTGGAAAGATGAGCTTGATGAGCTTTCATCATCGCTACTGCCTGAAGCACCAACGTCAATAATGAATGGCTCGACTTGTTCCTCTAAAATATTGTCCAGTTCCCACATTCTCTTTTCAACTTTGTCTTTCACGTGCTTAATACAGTTTTCCCATTTTTGCGCTGTTATTAATTCTAGTGCTTCTTTGAAAAGTCCTTTGAGGTCACAAAATTTAAAAGTTGTATTGTGCTTAGCTATATAATTTTTAACCTCTGCCCATATGAGCTCAATGGGATTGAGCTCGCAATGGTATGGAGGTAAACGGAGCACAGTTTTATTTTGACTTGCTGCCATTTCGTCAATGGCGTATTTTTGATACTCCGCCTTGTGATCCTTGACAATTCTTAATAATTGTACTTTCAGCACTGCTTCTTCAAAGTTGATATTTTTCGAGCGGAGCCAATTTTGAACATCAAGTTTCCTTGAAGCCGTTGTTGGGACCTTCTCCATTCTTCGAGAATGATAAGGCGCATTATCCAACACAATTACTGCGTTTTCCTAAGTTCGGTAAAATTTTTGAAAACCACTGTTCAAACGATTCGCCATTCATTTCCTCGTGGTAATCTCCAGTTTTCTTAGACCCAAAGCACCACAGACCGTCAACAACAAATCCATCCTCACTGCCAATATGGCAGATAATGAGCCTTTTCCCTTTACCTGGAAATCGAAGTACTAACTGGTGTAGATTTATTTCAATAAGCGAACCTTTTTCAAATGTTTTCATCACATTCAGCGAAAAAACATTGAGACATGAGTATCAGATTGCTATAATTGGGAGTATTTAGTCATATTGAAAGAAAGAATATTGAACGTCGTATGATTACTCAGCGCTTCACAATTTAATTTAAAGTTATAAACCTTTAAAAAATGAATGATCAGGAACCTGAAATACGCGCAAATATTAATATTAACAAATTATAACTTTATAAAGCTTAAAGTATGAATTAAAATGATTAGAAATATTAGGAACGGTACACAGTATAAAACTTAGTAACTTTTTTTAAGTTTATAATATTCGACATATTTTAAGATTATATTAAAAAATTATTGAAATATCGAAAACACATAAAAACATGGCTTAAAAAAGTTCTAACAAATGAAAATGACAATAAAACATCCACGAATTTTATCGAAAGTTATAAAAGTTTTGTTACTTGTAATATGTTTTATCTGCCCCCTGGAATTAATGTTTAGAACCTTGTTCCCAAGGTTTGAAAAACATTCGATTGTTGTCTATTACTCGTATTTACCTGCTGGATTTTTTAATCCGGTGGACAGTCCATCTAGAAAGGCCCTCCTGGATGAAGTTACAGAATCATCAACCCATACTTTACTTGTAGTGTGTCCTGCGTTTACCCACGTTTCATCAAGGTAATAAATCTTCCTGTTTTGATTTCTATATTTCCCAATTTTTGTTAAATAATCCCTCCTCCATAGCACAATTTCTTCTCTATCCAGTAGTAAACTATTATGACCCCGTTTTTTCCATTTGAAATTTAAATGCTTCAGTAACGCATGGAAAGTTGATCGTTTGAAATTTGACAACGCTGTATCTCCATTTACCTCCTGCAGTACTTTATCTATAGTAGGTATTTCATTCCTAAAGAAGAATTCATGCACTTTCCTCCTAATCGCATGCTTATCAGCTTCATCCAATGATTTAACAATACTTTTGCGATGTTTACTGGTCATTGGCTCAGAAAAGGTGTGATTTTTTTTGTATTGTCTTAACACATTAAACACTGATGCGCGACACACCCCAACTTTGTGAGAAACCTTCACAACAATTTCTTTGATGGTTGATGCCTCGTTCTCCTCGCGCTCGATCTTATATATATTCAAAATGACCTCTTTCATTTCTGCACTCAGGTGTCTTTTTTTAGAGCGTTTCCTAGGAGGACTACAGGAGTTTACAACTTCATCGGCAGTATCTGTACTACTGGGCATTTTGCGCAAACAGTTGATAACAATAACAATCAATAACAAGGTATAACAATAACAACGACAAACTCAACAACTTAATAAGATAACAAACGAAAACGTCCAAAGAAATATCAAATTGCAATGGTGCACACGACATACGTAACACGTCTGAACCTGAATGTGACTCTGCCTTGATACGACTGCTCTGCCGCTCGGCATAGGCATTTAATTGCGAATTGACCAATGAGGGCTCCTGCTTTACGTCGAGACGGCGGCGTTAGCGTGAAAATCACCCGAACCTTTTGTTTACATCCAGTCTATCTCGTATCTGAATATACTGTAATAAGTGCGCGGAAGTACTAAGCTTGGTTGCGTATAATTATATTAAAATCAAAAAAGTCGAGGTAATTTTCACTTACCCCCATTTTTTTTCAAACAAAATTTAAAAAAATGATCACGATATTCTAAAGGCACTGTGTAAATTACCAAACAAGTCAACAGCAGGAGAAGATATGGTACCGAGCTTTGTAGTCCGTGCTGCGCCTTTAAAGAAAATTTTTAATTATTCCCTCAGTACAGTAACTTTTCCTACAAAATGGAAACTGGCTAGAGTGTGCCCTATTTTTATATCTATATTGGATAATTTTGGTAAGGCATTTGAGATATCCTTTGACCTAGCATCTGGTATCTGAGACGCAACATGGATTTATGCGCAATCGCTCTACTATTTCCAGCTTAACTGAATTCACCCAGGAAATTGCAGATGTCTTCGATAATAGGGGTCAGATGGATGTGGTCTATATGGACCTCTGAAAGTCCTTCGATAAGATTAGTCACCAAAAAAACATAGGTAAACTTCAGCACTTTGGTTTTAGCTATCATTTATTAGATTTCATTTCTTCTTACTTGCATGATAGAAATCAGTATGTTTCTTACAATGGTTTCAAATCTTCACCCTACTCGACCTCATCCGGTATACCACAGGGATCAAATTTAGGTCATCTTCTCTTTC